GAGCAGGGAGCCCGATGCGGGGCTCGATCCCAGGACCCTGGGATCATGACCTGAGCCGAAGGCAGACACTTAACAGACTGAGCCACACAGGTGCCCCTGTTTAGATTTTTAACATTTTGTTGTCGTCTGCTCCAGTTTCTTGACCCTTCACACCCAACCCCTCTATCCTAAAGAATAGGCATTCTGCCTCATCTCACTGTAAAGCAAACTCAACTTCAAATTCATGATTTCACCCCCATAGCCCCAACACATCCAACCTCCATTTAAATGATCAATCCCACATCTCCAAACCAAGTCACTTCTCCCCTCTGGAGTCTTCATTTTGGCTTGATGGCATCTATCCCTTTATTTGCCCGGCAAACATATTACATGCTCTAAGGACAGACCAGATGTCACCCTGTCTGTGAAGTCATCCCTAACCCCCTCGAGAGCTTTAGTCCAAGCAGCGCCCTCTATGCCATATCATCCAGACAAATGATCTTCCAGAGCTTTTGCTCACATACTTCACAATTTTTTTTTAAATGGATTCCCTCACTCAAGTCTGTAAATTCTTTCATAATTTAAATAGTTACAAAAGGTAATTTCCAGCATATTATAAATACTGAGTTTTTAAACTACCATTAACTCTTAAATATATCCAAGGAAATCTAAATACTGCACTAATCTAACACATCACCTTATTGTCACACACCAATAAGCTCTGTTTTAATAGCTGGTCATTTCATGCCATGCTCTCTTTCCCCCTTCAACTCAACTTTCCTCAACTCTGTTTCACTTCCTCCAAGGATTTTATTTTATTTTTTAAAGATTTATTTATTTATTTATTTTAGAGAGAGACAGAGCAAGCAAGCTGGGGGAGGAGCAGAGGGAGAGGGAGAGAGTCTCAAGCAGACTCCCCGCTGTGCACAGAGCCCAAGGCAAGGGCTCAATCTCACAACCCTGAGATCATGACCTGAGCCGAAACCAAGAGTCAGCCGCTCATCTGACTGAGCCAACCAGGTGGCCCCCTCCAAGGATTTTATAGTAATACATTTCCACACCGCAAAACATTTTACTGATCACCCTTATTAATACTCCTCCGCAACAAAAATATGTATATAAACTGAAATTAACCGAAGGGTCTATTAAAACTTTGACATTTCTCTTCATGTACCCATTGGTTCATGTGCCCATGCAGAAATATTACTTATTGCTGGAATGAGTCGAGGTTCAGCATTAATTTAATTTCTGTTTTGTTTTACATGTTTTACATGTGTGCTAATAAACTGTGCTCACATGAACAGGTAGGTAGAACCATGCAAGGCTCTGAACTCCTTTTGAGTTGTTCTGTAATTAAAAGTAGTTTTAATGATCTACTAGCTGACAAGTCAATTAATTATAACTTCAGTTTTGTCATGAACCAAGGATTAATTGGAACCCAGCTGACGTGCAAGAGGATTTGTTACTCAGTTATCAGTTATTCACGTTCACAACACTGGTACCAATTCAGGTGCATGATCCTTGATTTGTAATTCTCAAATCCAGAAAGCTACAAAAGTAGTTTTCATAATTTACTGGGCTCAAAAGTGGCACAAGGTAAAACTACTTACAGTCTTTATCCTTTTTACTGTGAATATTCATGCTTCAGAAATATTAACATGTTGGATTATAGGGTGCTGCCCCAGGGCCTCTGAAGTTGAGATATGATATGTGCAAGATTATCTTTCTAAAAACCAGAATATTCTGAATTCTAAACAAAACAAAACAAAACTGCCCCCTCCCCAAGGATTTCAGATAAAGACATTTACTTGTCTATCTCTTTTATTATAAAGGCTGAACCCTTGGATCATTTCTCCTGTGTATTCTCTACACCTAGAACAGCACCTGGCATGTAGGTATATTTTTGCTGGACTGCAAAGTAGAAAAGTATGGGATAATAAAGGCAATTCTATCACTTCCGTTAGCAGTGACATGTTCATATGTGGAGTAAATGGGCTTTTATTCTAAAGTCTAAAGACAGGTTCTCGGTTTCTAAGGCTATCCTATTTATTTGCTCTTAGGTCCTCTGTTCAAAATTACACTAAAAAATTACAAGATAAACTACTCTCCCATATTGTATCACCTGTCAACTACTTTCCAAGTTCCATATTTCTAAGGAAACAAAACTAAGCAAGGGTTCGAAATACAAGGTACTCACAGTTGCAGCAATCTCAGCTTTGGTCCTGTCATGTGTGGAAACGAAAATGATGGATGCCAACAAAAACACGCATCCTGTTCCCATAGTAATATAAAAATCCTGTAACGTGTGCATAAAGAACATGGTTAGGTTGATGAGACAAATTCTTTTTTTAGTTTTAAAAACCTTTGTGACACAGTTTTTTCTTCATACAGCCCAAACCTACATACTTCAGCTCCTAACTTTTCCATAAATCAGGCATTCACTAACCTCCCTATAAAGGAACACTATCCACACTTTGCACAGGGCATATTCAAAGTACATCACAAGATAATCTTTTAATAAGAGCAGCTCCCCAAAAGGTTGTGTGTGTGTGTGTGTGTGTGTGTGTCTTTTTCTCAAGGACATATTAAATTATCAAAGCCAAAGGTTTATTAAATCATCTTACTGCCAGCCAAAAAAAAAAACCCAAAAACTAGAAGCAAAAAAATTTTTCTTTCCTTTCAAAGTACAGATGGCCCCTGGCTTACAATGGTTGCACTTATGATTTTTCACTTTAAATGTTGCAAAAATGTTCCATATTCAGGAGAAACTGTACTTCAGACTGTGAGTCTGGATGCTGTCTCAGGCTAGCGCTGTGTGGGACGATCCTCCATTGTGATGCTGCGCAGTGGGAGCAGCTCCGGGTCAGCCACCAATCACGAGGGTAAACGACAGGTACGCGGACAACCCTTCTGTACCCACACGACCATTTTGTTGGTCACTTTCAGTATAGTATCCAATTACATGAATCAACACTTCACTATCGAACAGCCTTTGTGGTAGATGATGTTGCCCAACTGCAGGCTAATGTAAGCGTTCCGAGCACACTGAAGGTAGGCTAGGCTAAGCGATGATGTTTAGGAGGCTAAGTGTATTAATGCACTTTTGACTCAGGGTCTTTTCAACTTCTGACGGGTTTATTGGGATGTAATAACCCCACTGTAAGTCGAGGAAGATCTGTATTCTATGCTAGGATGGCCTCTCTAAGGGTACTTCAGTGCTTTGAAAGCACTCTGGAAAAGAGAGCATCAGAAGAACCACCCGCCATTAACTACATAAAATATGCCAATAGTATGTTTTCTAGACACTTAAGCTTTCTGCAATAACATATTGCTTCCAATTGTTCCAAGTGAGTAACCCAAAATGAGCTTGTATCATGAGTTTATCTACTCTATGAAAGCTTCCGTATCTCCTCATAATGCAGTTCATGACATGAAGTTCTCCTTGGGTTTCCAAGGGTTCTCTCAGGCACACTCTTGTATGGCTCCTCTCAGATGCCAAGTGAAACCAGTGCTTGACATGCACACTTGACTCAGAGGAGAAACTGGTAAAATGAGGGCCATTCCAAAGGGTTTTAAGTCTGACACTTTCGGGGTTTTCTGAAGTGCAGTCTCCACTAAACCTAATATCAATAACCCATCCAATACAGAATTCCTATACTGTCAATTGTACACTTAACATTTATAAAACAAAGTAAGAGATTTTCTCTTTGCTTCTAAAAGAGATGGTTTTTCTGCAATATTCTGTTTTTCCTGTTCCTTTGAATATTATTTCATATCTGTGACATGCAAATAAAACTCCTTTTACTAATATCTGGAGTACATTCAAGGAGGTATTAAACAAGACAACCATTTTGAGGCAGACTAATGTGGTGTTCAAGAAACATGGATTCTAGAACCAGACCGAGTTCAAATCCCAGTCATGCTACTTCTTGGCTCTACGACTTTGAATTCGTTACTTAACATCTGTCTTCCTTAGTTTCCTTTGCAAAATGGGAGTAGTAACAGTATCTTCTTCAGAGGTGATTCTAAAGATGAGAGTTAATTGGTAGAAAGTGCTTAGATCAGTGCCAGGCACACAGTAAATGTCCCGTAAGTGTTGGCTGTTGTTACTCTTGACAGAATCTGAGCCCCAACAGCACGGAACAGAAAAGATTCTCCCTTCAAAAAGCTTATTCCTCCCACTGCCTAGGCATTACCACCACCATCACCCTCTCAAAACATTCTCTGTAAAACAGAAAACTTCTCTGACGTTAAAAAGTATGTAAGCACATTAGTAAGTTGAGAGTAAAAGTGATTTTTAAACCTTTTAAACAAACATGAAATCCTTATGTTAGGTGGAAAGTACAGCATATATGACTCTTAAATCACCTATGAGTAGACAAAAAAGACCCAAAAGAGATATAGTAAAATATTTACAAAAGCTGTTTCAGGATGAAATGACTGATTTATTCCCCCCTCCAATATTTTAAGATCAGTACTTACTCTAAAATAATGTGGTTTTTTTTTAAACTACTTTTAAATGCTCCTCTGATGTAATAAATGTTTTACATTTAGTTTAGTTTAGTTAAACCATTAAACCGGAAAATATTGTTTCTTGTCAAAAAGATCAATGTTTTCTTGTCAAAAAGATCAATGTTCTTAAACATTACAGATGCAACACTAAAGACTAAACCTTTCTAAAATATGGACGGTGATACTGTTTTGCCATTGAGAGATAAGAAAAGAAAAAATAATTTCGATCTTTAATGCTTAAAATATAAACTTATACACTGGAACTACAAATCAATCAGCTCAAATACACTACTAAACTTTTCACTCGTCCAAAAATCTTACCGAATACCGCTCTGTAAAAAGGAAGGATTTACAAAGATTACAAATAAAATTAACAAAAATTCTAAGGTATTCCCTGCATCCTCTTAATATGCATTCCATACAATAAATGGGTTCTGCTGTTGCCATCATTATAGGGAGATCCCTGAGGTGATAACATTTGCCACAAGAGCATCAAAAGTTGGTAGGGCGCTGGTACCAGCGGGATTCGGGGGAGGCCAGAGAATGGAATGCAGAGTGTTGAGGGCTTTCCTGGGTTCCAGTCTCAGTTTATTTTGACCCTAGCTGTGTAACTTTGGACAAGGTATGTAACCACTCTGAACCCAAATTTCCTCAACAGGAAAATGGAGCATTATGGTGTGAGGATTCTGAATCACAGTACATGAAGTGTCTGGCACAAGTCCGTGCTGACAGCAACTATTATCAGGAAGGGTAATGGGCCAGTCCTGTATCGGCCATACCAAGAGCTGCATGTATGTGCTCATCAAAGGCTTGGTGGATGTGATTCAGCTCCAATCTGGTTTTCAAAGTTATTTTTTTAACTGTTGTGGTATCAACTTATTTTGCTTTTTAATTTTTAAACTTAAAATATTCTGTTAAAAGAAGGTAATGGATTCTTAGAGCACCAGACTTAAAAGGCACCAAAGTGTATATAGAAAAAAGTAAATCTCTTAGGTGTATATTAATATCTGACCCAATGCTTACTTTGCATTAATTTAAAAAATTAGGGGCACCTGGGTGGCTCAGTCGTTAAGCATCTGCCTTCGGCTCAGGTCATGATCCCAGGGTCCTGGGATCGAGCCCCACATCGGGCTCCCTACCCAGCAGGGAGCCCGCTTCTCCTTCTCCCTCTGTCTACCACTCTGCCTACTTGTGCTCTCTCTCTGTCAAATAAATAAATAAAATCTATTAAAAAAAATAATAAAAATAAAAAAAATAAAAAATTAACAGAATCTTACTGCTTTGTATTGATCTTGTTATCCTCCGTTCTTAATAGTTAAAAACTCAGCCTAATTGTATCTTTTCCCTCAGAGGTGTGAATGCTTTTATATGTCAACGCTGACATGTACTTGTCACAAACCACTATTAGCTTAGTTCCAACACTACTGAAGAAGGAAACTGCTCAATTCTTTCTTAAGTGCAGTAAACATGTGAATCATGTGTCATCTCACAAATCCACACTGTACTCAAAAACATGCACCAGCAGACTGTCTTTAGAAAGTTATGCATCGCTGATTCTGTGAAAATAAAATTCTCATGTGTGCTTTCATTAAAAGGGAAATTTCTGAACAGTGAATTCAACAAGTGCCTTAATTCACTCACTGATAACTTCTTTCATAATATCAAAATCAAAACAAAATAGGCAGCATGATGTGGTGCTTTATTTGAGAAGCTCCAGAAATACCTCCCATGAGTTCATCACTCTCTCTAACGTCTAGCCTAATGCCCGGCGCACAGCAGGTACACAACGGACAACTGTAGGACCCAAGAGTGACGCTCCGAAAAGTGAGAAATCAGAAGGGACAAAAATCCTAGTTTTTAAAAAATACATGTTTATGGGGCGCCTGGGTGGCTCAGTCGTTAAGCGGCTGCCTTTGGCTCAGGTCATGATCCCAGGGTCCTGGGATCGAGTCCCGCATCGGGCTCCCTGCTCTGCAGGAAGCCTGCTTCTCCCTCTCCCACTCCCCTGCTTGTGTTCCCTCTCTCTCTCTCTGACAAATAAATAAAATCTTTAAAAAAAAAAAAATACGTGTTTAAAAAAAAAAAAGAAAAAGAAATACCTCGTGTGAATGAGATCAAACCAATTAGCTGTAAACCCTTGACTGAGTCTGTCTCCCCCTTTCCCCTTTCTGATTTCACTTTCCCCCTCTCCCACCCTGCTTGGCAGGGAAAATGGAGTTGCTCAGGGGCAGAACTGGAACCACGGAGAGTGTCTTCTCGTGCTACGGAGTTTTGAAAGCAGCACTGTTCTGAAGAATAAAACTACACAAGATTCCAAAGGAGCCATGTTCTTCGTAAAGGGATTCTATTTTTCTCACGCTTACCGACTGCTTGACTTTGGTAGAATCGACTTGGTCATAAACGGGAGTGCAGTACACAATCAGGATGAGGAGACTCAGAAGAAAGGCACTGCAGCTTACGAATTCAAAAAAGTAAAGTCCTCCACACAGTGTACACTGTGACACGACTTCCTCACAGACAAAGGCCAGCAGGGACAGCAACTACAAAAGAAACAAAGCTGTTTACTCAAGTGTTTTCCAGAGAAACCAAGAGTATTCAGAAAACTCATCTGTTCACTCCACTCTCTGGAAAGCAGAGACTGTGGCAAACACGATTACTGAATGGACCCCATCTCCACAGAACTTCACAATCTGGTTGCCTGAAAGGGAATCCAAGTACACAAATAATTAACTACCCAGTGCTAAATGCTAGACTTGGGGGAATTACAGGGTGCCAGGAATTACAGGGTGTTGCTGGCACCCTCCCACCCCAAGGCACGCAGCGATCCCACCACCCCCACTGAGCCGAGAGAGCGAGTTCAGTCAACATGGTTCAAGCACCCAGTGTGAAGGAAGGGGATGGCAGCACGAAGATGATGAGACGAGACTAGAGAGGTAAGCGGAGGCTAGAGCTAAATGTCCTCGCTTACTAGTTTAAAAAAATCTGGGTTCTAAGGGTTTTAAAGCAAAGGGGCGAACATTGAGGCTTCCAGCTGGGAAGCTTGAAGGAAGAAACCAGGGGAAGACAGTGAGCTGGGGAGTGGTGATGGAGAACAGTTCCTGCAATCACTGCGAGAGCCAAGAAGCGGCAGAAGCCCTTTGTCAGGACCAATACAAATAGAGTAGGAAACAAGATAACAGACGTGAACGCTTTAACTTAAAGCAAAAAGGCATGTTTATTCACCAATCTTTGGAAATAGGGCTTTTCTCTGGGTTTGAGCCTACTGATTGGAATTCCACGTCATGTTTTCTGCACTAATCACCTTCATCATCTATAATTACCACTTGCAGACTAATGTTTAGTTGAAGTGGAGCAAGACCTTGGACACTAGAGAAGCGGAGGGCAGAATCCTTCTAGATTTGGACTAGTTTTACTAGCCCTTTACAGTTATCTTGCTCTCACTTAATTCCGCAGCAAATATTTTAGTAATTTATTTTCTGGACTTTCCAAAGCATTCAACTTAGTTTTCACAAAAACAATTCCTTTTCCCACTCAATTTCAGTCTGTGTGATATTTAATTAAATGTCTGACCATAAAAAGTATAATTGGTAGTAGTGGGAATAACCCAAGTCAACTGACGGCAGAGGCAAAAGTGCTCAGACAGGCATGGGTCAGAATGCCGTGCACTGAATGCACAATGGTAAGGTCCGGTGAATTCGGCAACTCAATTAAATGCAAGTGGGATTTAAGAGCACTCCCACTGTTGTATATAAGGTATTAATATACTGGGGCCCCACTGCAGGAAAAAGAGTCGGGGTTCTTTTGTCTTTTTTTTTTTAAGAGGCAAGGATGCTGGGAAGAGAATACATTGTTTTAAATGTGCTGTGTATGAGGGGGTTGCAAAAGAGTTAAGGGAGGTGTCTAGGGGGCAAAAGGATATACAGGTCTGCAGCTCAGGGGAGAGGTCTAGGGTGGAGATGAAGACGTGGGCATCGGCCAGTGAGATCACCCAGAATGAGGAAAGCTGCAGAACTCTGAGCAAACCCAAGATTTAAGGGATGTGCAGAGGGGGTGACATCAGCAAAGGACAATTGGGAGCAGCAGTCCAAGGAGGTAGCAGGCCAAGGAAAAAGTATTCCTACCAAGAGAAAGTAAGCACGGGTAATGAATGCTACTCAGAGGTCGGGTAAGAACAACACAGAGACACTGACATGAGACTGAGCTACAAGGCGGCTGCCGGTGACATCAGCAAGCCCATGTCAATGTAGTCAACCAGGGAGGCTGAGATTACAGTACTGTATGGTGGGAAGTGAGGGGAAGACAAAGCAATGGGAGAGAGTCAGGAGAGTCAAGAGGTATAGCGTGGGAAGAGTGGCCAGATAGGGGAGTAGTGGACGAGGTCAAAGGGAAGGGAATTTCAAGATGGGAGAGAACTGAGCATGATTAAATACTTAGGCAGAAACCAATAAGATGGGTCGGTCTAAAGACAAGGAAGAAAAGAGGCTCTCTATAGATAGGATTCAGAGCCCAGGTTTGGGGCTAACTCTTCTCTAGAAATAGGAAGAGAGAGAAGAGAGGTTCACTTGGGCAGTTAGTGTGGGTTTTGTGAAAGCCAAGGGAGTTTCCTTCAAACATTAAGACCATCAAAATGACTGGTGACCTAAATCAAAGCCTATCAGGAAATGCCATTTTGCCCCTCAGATCAGTAGAAGCAACCAGATATATTAATGACAACAAGTGTGCTACCAAAATCAGCAGATACATTGCATATTATAAAAATGTTATCCTACAAAATATTTTTTTTTAAAGATTTTATTTATTTATTTGACAGAGAGACACAGTGAGAGAGGGAACACAAGCAGGGGGAGTGGGAGAGGGAGAAGCAGGCCTCCTGCCGAGCAGGGAGCCCGATGCGGGGCTCAATCCCAGGACCCTGGGATAGACCTGAGCCACCCAGGCGCCCCAGTATTTTCATTTTTAAAAAAGATTCTATTTATTTAGAGAGTGAGAAAGAAAGCATGAGTCGGGCGAGGCTCAGAGGGAGAGAGAGAACCTCAAGCAGACTCCCCACTGAGCGTGGAGCCCAACGCGGGGCTCAATCCTACAACCCTGAGATCATGACCTGAGCCGAAACCAAGAGTCGGGATGCTTAACCGACTGAACCACCCAGGCTACAAAATATTTTCATCAAACAGAAGTCAATGGTACACCACTCTGAAGAACAATCGAGCAATTTCTTAAAAACTAAACACACCACTGCTGTATGACCCAGCAACCGCATTCCCACATTCTGCATACGCCCAGGAGAAATGAAAACATGTCTGTGCAAAAACCGACACATGAATGTTCATAACAGTTTTATTCATAACAGCTCTGGAATCTGGACACCATGCAGATGTCCCTCTTTGGTTAAGCAAACTGTGCTACATCCACACCATGGAATACTACTTAGCAGTAAAAAGGAGCAAACTTCACATATGCAACAATGTAGATGAATGTCCAAATTATGCGGTGAAAAAAATCCAAAACTCAAAGGTTACATTCTACACGATTCCATTTATTTAGGTTTTTAAAGATTTATTTATTTATTTTTTTGGGGTGGGGAGGGGCAGAGGGTGAGGGAGAGAGAATCCCAAGCATTCTCTGTGCTGAGTGTGGAGCTCCACTCAGGGCTCGATCTCACGACCCCAAGATCACGACCTGAGCCGAAACCAAGAGTCAGTGGCTTAACTGCTCCACCCAGGCACCCCCATGATTCCATTTATATAGCATTCTTCAAATAACAAACTACAAAGCTGGAGAACTAAAAAGTGGTGGCCAGGGGAGAGGGGAAAGGTGTGGCTGTAAAGGGGTGGCATGAGGGAACCCTGTGGTGATAGGACGGTTCTGGACCAGCTGTGGTGGTGACTCTAGGAAGCTACACAGGTCACACACACATACACAAAGTGCAGAGGATCTCCCTGTATGTTTTGTTTTGCAAGTTCCTGTGAATCTATAATTATTTCAAAACAAAAAGTTTAAAAAAAAATGGTCAAACCTAAATTGGTATGAAGGTCTCTAAGGGATTTTTCCCTCTCCAACTGGTTAATACAAAATTTCATATATCCCACAACTGAAAGCAATCCATATAAGGATGAAAACAGAGCCTACTGGTATGATTTCCTACAAGTCAGTAAGACATAAAATAGTCCAACATATCCCAAACAACCGCCTTCAGACAGCTGTTAGGTTAGGTAAGGTGTTCCCAATTATTACACCATAGGATACAAAGTGACACACCAAGACAAATCCCAGAAAGTCATTGTGTAAAGGTACTTCCTTAGTCTCCTGTAATTATAATTACAGGGTGAGTTTTTACATGACTACAGTATAATAAAATACTAAACATCTAATATTCCATTTGCTTTATTCTTGCCTCTGTGTTAAATCTTATCCAACTTTTTAGGAGTTCCTCCATGACAAATTTGCAAAATATACCTCAGGTATACAAAAGCCAATTAACTGTGAGAAGATATCAGCCTAAAGCTCTAACTGGGGTCTGAGACTAGTTGATCGTGAGCCATTCTTATCACAATAACTAGGTTATCAGGAACGCTCATCTATGTAAGCCATATGATAATAAAATCTTTTCTGCAGAGATACAGACTGCTTGTCTATTCTCAGGAAGAAAGGGGCAGGACCCAGCTCAGCCAGCAGCAGTCAGGGTCTTCCTTACCAGTCCTGTTCCAAACTTATGAACAGGAGTCAAGCCTCAGAGCAGTATTAAGAGGCAGATCCTACCCGGACATCCTGAGAGATTAAAGGGGTACGATATCAAGTTTGGACGTTTACTAGTTCCTAGGCCCAGTTTAAGACCAAAAAATCAGCACTACAAACTATATTCAGTATGAAGTTTTCTCCTGACTCCTCCCATCTTTCTGATGCTCCGAACCTTCCTATATAATCTCCCACAGCACTCTACAGTATTTTTACGTTATACATCTGAAACTAATACATGTCAATTATACCTCAATTACAAAAATCTTTTTTAAGAAGTGCATTTGGGTATTATGTATCCAACACTATAATATGTATAGGAACATGTAATGACAGAGCAACAAGATCAATGTATAAGAAAACAATACACCTCATAATTGACCATCCATTATATATAGATTCAGGAAATCTCAGGAAAATGCTCGGATCCACCTGGACTAACAGTAGCTAGAGAAGGATAAGTGGAAAAGCAAGACTCAAAGCAGGGCTAAGAGATACATAGGATCTGGAAAGGCAGAGAACATTCCAGGTGGAGGACAAAAAAGAACAGATTCATGAAGGCAAGAATTTGCATGGTAAACCCCACAGGGATAATAAGGCAACTGACCTGAGTGGGGAGTGATGATGGAAATGTTTAAGGAGCTGGGTGTGGTTATGCGGTGATCAGGCCAGGGAGTATGGACTTTTGGATGAAAGCAACAGGGACTACCTGCCTGGTTTAGCTGGTTAGAAGACAGGAGGAGCAGAGGACTGGGTGGGGCCTGAGTAGGAGGGAAAAGAGTAACTCGCACCTGACAAGCAAGTC